CATTTGTCTCCCTTAATGACATGTCTTTATAACTGTGACCATCATTCTCCTGTAAGCCAAAGACTGAGGTTTGTTTTTTTTAAATTCTTAGGAGTCTGGCCACATACGCAGTTTTTTTAAGGGAAAATACTTGACAATGAAAAAAAAGAAAAATATATTTTTTCTAATAAATAAAAATAATTTAAAACGCTAGAGGCTATACATGACTAGTTTTGATTATGTTCATTTATAAATGAAAGTTTCCAAAATACGTGGAAGCAATATTAAAGGCAGACAAACAAAGATCTGTCTACTTTATTTTCCCATTAAGCTTGCCCTTCTTAACTTCTCCATCAGTGGTTCAGCATGTAAGAGGAATAAATGTCACATCACCATTCATGAAGTTTGTCAGGCTTTAAAAAAATAGTTCTGGCCTCAAAGGAGTCAACATTCATCTTCAACTTCTCTGATTGGTGGTATCAAGCTGCTTGTCGATTTATATTGATTGATCTGATTGGCCATGTGAGTGCTCATGGGCTTGATTTGAATGTTTCTGGGATAGGCATTATCCGGCTCATCTGTAAACCATTTCTTTTCTGCTAAGGAGCAAAATGGGTAGAGACAGAATAAGGAGGGAAAATGAGAGTTTTAATTAGTGAAGCATATATACACATAAACACCCCCCCCCCAAAAAAAAGGAGGGGAGAAGCAATCACTGAAGTTTATAGAGAAAAGGCAATCAATAGAAAGTGACTTTGACTAATTACTAGCAGTACAATGCATTAGATTAATACCTCTGAAAATACTTTTCATGAAAGGAGGATGACATATTTGCAGATTTGATAGTAGAAGCTAAAGAAAAACTGTCAATAAGCTAGTTTGTTTGTTGAATGTGAGGTCTTTTTTTTTTTTTTTTTCATGCTCAGGTGAACACCCTTTGATTCATTTATTGAAAAAATGAAACAAATAAAAGGCTAAACTGAGAAGCCACGGAGAGCAGATGGGATAAGGGTAATGCAGAAGAGAGCACGTAAGTCCATATACAGAGGAGCACCTAAATAGTCAGAGGCTTCTCCGAACCATTTCAGCCTCGGGGTGGTTGCTACCACTGGCTCAGAAATCATGCGGGAGTATGTAAAGAAGAAGTTTCTAGAATTGGTGCTAGAATAAATGGGACAACCAGATGGCTGCGTTCCTGCACAGGTTGGCCATTATATTGCTACTTAGCAACCTGGCTGATAGGGGCTGCTGAACTCCCCAGTTTGGGAAGGGTATGGAACATACCTGATGCTGCAGATGACTGTAGTAGGGGCTCAAGTTAATCCCGAATGGATTGGTAGTGATACGTGACAGCAAGGCAAAGGAAGCAAGGATTTAAAGGAAGATTAGAGGGGAAGCTGTTCCTTTTATATCTTTGGGCAGTGTTTGTTTTCCTGAACGTATGAAGAATTTTATGGTACTGATTTAAGGTGGGCTGGGAGCAATGTGGGAGGGAGGGAGGATGCTGAGAGGCTGCAGCATTGCAGCCATTCCCTAGCTGGTTATGATTGTAACCACTATATTGCATTGTTCATATACAGATGTGGACAAAAACTTCTTAAAATTCACAAAGGAAAAAAACCCCAAAAGATCTTCTTAAGCCCTTTAGAGAGCAATTACTGCTCTAATTTCTTAATTGCAGATGTGCAACTTTACAAGACAGCTATATTCAAAGACTTAGAAATTCCTGGTCTTAGAATGGCTTGTGGCTGTTAGGTGCTTGTGCTTTGACAAGCATTTGTGAACAGGGATCTACATTCTCACCCTCCTTCCCCAAATTCCGGAGGTGGTGTGTGCAGAGCAGTGGGCACGCATGGTTCCGGTGATGGGATTCTGTGAGCGGGGCATTTTCATTATTAGATGCAAGGCTTAATGTGTGCCACATCAAGGCTGCTGCTCTTGCACGTATGCACTGCTTCTCAGTCCAATGGGGAACCCAAAATGTTTCAGAAGCTTTACTTTCTCGCTTGCCTAATAGAAACTGCCACTTTTGCTTACCATGGAAATGCCGCTGTATCTGGGCTGGAATCAGGGCAGCAGTACTCGTTTTAAATAAATAAATAAGCAAAGCAAAATCCACCTCAGAAACCCAAGGATCAAGCACAAAAGCTCAAGGAGGTGAAGCACGGAATAGAAACTGGAAGACCAGGAAGAATAAAGGACAAATATCTGGGCGTAAATGCACAAAAATAAGCAACTAGCTTCAAAGTTAGGACCTCTAAAGAAGTAGATAGATTTCCAGAATTACTGAACTTCTCAGTCACTTTCATGGAATCACAGAACTATAGACTGGTTTGGGTTGGAAGGGACCTCAAAGACCATCTAGTTCCGACCCCCCTGCCATGGGCAGCGACACCCTCCACTAGACAAGGTTGCTCAAAGCCCCATCCTGCCTGGCCTTGAACACTTTCGTGAATAAGAAATTTAAATACTTATACTTGATATGGATTTTAAGCATCTACATGCAAAACCCCTATTCCCCAACAATAAACCCCAACCTGAGAAGGGTTTAATCCCTCTTTTTCTTTTTTATTCAGATATATTTGTTACCTGTGTTTATGCTTTTTTAAAAAAATTAATTGAAAAAAGGAATCGTATTAATCATTAGTGGCTTATTACTGAAGGTAAACAGAACTACTGTATTGTTTTTCTTGTCATTTTCTAAAATGTATTCTACTTCTTTTTAAAATATCCTACGTTGTTTTCAATCAGGGTAGATAGTTCCCTGCCCCCTTAAAGTTGGCTGAGTCTGAACAATGTTCAATCTCCCATCTCTCTCTCTCTCTCTCTCTCTCTTACCTATTATAATTAAGTTCCCTTTGATTCGAACAGATTGGACGATAGGAATTCATAATGTTACATCCTGCACACTGAAGCTAACTGATTAAGTGCTTTAAATTATTCTTCCTGACAGAATGATAAAGTTACAATCTGTTCAGAGATGATCTACAGCTTGCCAGACTCCTACCGCTTCTTTCTACATTCATTTATCTTTTTGTCAAGCAGTTAAAAAAAAAAAAAAGCCTCAATTCCATAGATCTTTTAAAGTCATCAGAACATCTGAATTATTAATGAGACTTTAAAGGAATGGTTCCTGATGGGGGCTGGTTTAAGAAAGGTTGTAGGAAAAAAAGTCTGGGAATGTGTACACATCAAAATAATTTCAGCTCCATTTAAAAAACCATTTAGTTCAAGTGTGACACATGAACCATTATGCATTTGTGGAAACCAATTTTATGTGATCTACGATTAAACTAACCTTTCAGAGAGGTGTAAAGTGTGATGGTTATCATGTTTTAAAAGCCTTGCAAGATCACATAAACAATTTCAAACTAACAGTTTTCTAATGGTTTGTGTTTAAAATGATTTTGAGGCGAGTTAAGCACTGTGAACTTTTATCTCTAACTTCTTTTTTAACATATGGTGCACAAACTTTCCTTACAAGCAGTACTTGGTGCAAGTTAATTCAATCTCGTAGAAAAGGGAGAACTGCATGAGTGCTAAGGATCAGGGAGCGAGTGTAAGGGTCTCAGCAGCCAGTGTAAAGCACTTCCAACACCCCGGCCTTCCCTTGGAATTTTCAAAACAAGGCAATTACTTATATGTTAATCTTTACAATAAAACTCATATCCAGGGAGCTGATCTTTAAAAAGACACCATCAAGTCTCTTTTTGCCTTTACCTGGCAAGTAATCAAAACATCAATTAAATAATAAAAACAGAAACTGGTAAATTCTAATTTGTTTTGTTGTTTAGATTTCTTTTTGCCAGTGCTGAACCTTGATCCAGGCAATATCATCTCCAGCAGCAAATGCTTGGACCCAGCTTTATACCTTTCCTGTTCCTTTTCTGCTGTTAAAATTGTCTTTGAATACATATTGATGAATCTCCTGTGAAAGTCCGTCAACCTCTATACTTACCTTTGAAATGTGAGCTTGACACTCCTCATCTTTACTCTTGGCCTCTAAGATATTCTGCTCCCAGTTACTAAATGTCCTCCTTGAATCCCTTACACACTTTTCAATCTTTTTGTTACGCTCAGTCTGACATTGACATGTCTTCCAAAGTCTTAGCACAGATTTTTCCATATCCTAAACAAACTACTTACTCTTTCCTTTAAATCACTCCAGAAAACCCTTTTTTAAGTCTTTATACATTGTTATATTCACCAACTTTCTTTTAGTTCTCTGTCATGTTCAGTCTGTTTCTCTCCCTTTTGGCATACGCATATATTGATCCTTACCATATGTGTTTCTCCCTTATAGTGAGAACAGGCATAGTTTTCTATTTTATTTTTTTTTTAAGAGCTGTTCAAGAGAGTCCCTGAACTTTCTACTCTATTTGACGCGTTTGTTTTTGGCAGCATCACCTGAGAGGTGTTGGAACAGCTAAGTAACTTCATGTATCAGAAAGCAGAAAACATCTACTTTCCTCTCAAACACCTGTTTGCAATGGGCCATCAGCATCCCAGTGCATCCGTGAAGGTTCTAAAGGCTTCATGCTCTTATTACAAATAAATAAAAATTAACATCTTGTGTAAGACTGTTCCCTGCAGCATAAAAAGATATAGATAATTAAAGTGAAATGATCAAAACACAGATTTTGTCACCTTGTGTAAGAAAGACTAGCAATTCTCTCCAACAGATTTATTGTTCTGGTGCTTTAAAATTTCTGCCATTAATTCTGGACTGAGTAATCACATTTGAATAAATGTTGCCGTGAAATACCTTCTCTTCTGAGCACAGGCAAAGAAAGTACTAGCTAAACATGACACAAAGATTTACTAAATCTGTATTCTCACCATCATCCCAGGTTACCTTACAATTGTTTTAAACATGCCTTTTTTTTTTTTTTTCCCCTGACACTTGCAATTTCAAATGATTCTGTATGTGTGTGTTTGTGTGCCTTCTCCCCTTCCACATAGGAAGCTTATTTATAGCTAAGTTGAAAATTCTCCCATGCAATTTCTTCCTGTGTGAGAAGAAAGTAATGAAAATTTCTCCACCCACCTGCTCAGCAATTCTTTGTTTGGCAGATGAATATTTAACATGTAGCAGGCAGTAAGTAATGTGCAGGGACAGAGAGAAGAAACTATTCTTACTTTCTGTGAAGGTCTTTATTTTGCTCCAAGGCAACTAAAATTTTGGGACAAAATGCTATTCTGGAATTGTTCTTGTTGATTTTTCTTTTTTCCTAAATTAGCAAAATTCTTTTGACAATGGGAATTTCACTGGAAAATGCCTGACTCTGCCAGTTTAGGCCAATGGGAACCTATGACAAGAACCTACAGGTTGGCTAGATGTGATTTTGTGTCAACACTCAGATCAACATAGTTACTAAGAACCTAGTTTCCGTTGTTGAAACCTTACTGAGACTGCTATAAGTGGCAGGATCTCCCTTTAAAGCTCTAAAATATCATGTCTTGACATTGGTGCTGCTTTTCCACTTTCAAAAACTAACCAGGTTAGATACTAAGAATGGTTGACTTGGGAAAGCTTTCTGAACAAATGGGAGATTTCCTGTTACTTTTCAATATAAAAACTTTTGGCAACATAATAAACAATTTAAACATTCCTCTACTTGTGACAACCAACCTCCCAATTTCATTAGTATATCCATATCAGAAAATCTTCATCACTGTAATAAACTATTGGATCAATTTGACTGTAGTTAGCAGTGAAAATTGCACAAGGTATAATTAAAAGTCAAAACTTTAAGACTTCGGAATTTAGGACAGAAGATGGAGGAGAAGTAGACTTCACTATGATTTGAAGAATTCAGATTTGCATCCATATTACATATTCCTCTTCTGTTGCTCACAAAGTAGACAAGTTGCTTCTCTAATGTACACTGTTTATATTTTTCTACTTGAGCTGCAGTTATACAAATACTATTTTTTTGGATAAAGTCATTATGTAGTATGTGACAAGTGGCTTCATATTAACACCCTTCCTTACTCTGCTAAATGGAAAACAGATAAAACATTAATGGAAAAGCATTTTGGTGTCAAAGCCATTAACATTCTTCCAAAATGCATAACTGCTCTCGACTATCTTCAGTCAATACTGCCAACATAAAAAGATGCTCATGAACATACAAGGGGGATGGAGGAGTAGGGAAGGGAGGGGAGGAAAGGAATTGGAATGAGGAATGGGAAATTAAGTAATGTCTGCATCGGGGTAGGCATCTTCATTGAGCAGGAACCTGGGTGTTTACAAAAGGATACGTGCAATTAGAAAGGCAAGCAGATGAGAGGATAAAAAATAAAACAGGGTTGAGCAACAGCAGCAGCAGCAGCAGCAGCCAGTTTTACTTCTGGTTTGGAGGGAAAAAAAAGGCAAAAGAAAACCAACAAAACAACCAAACAAACAAACAAACCAATAACTGAATAAAGTTTTTAACTATTTTTTTTTTTAATTTCACAAGTTTTCACAAGGACAAAGTTATAGAAGGAAACCCACAGCAGTTGCTAGGTCATGCAGAACCATTAATTGTCATACCTTGGCCCATTCTATTCATCCTTGTTGCACTTTAGAAAAAGAAGTAAGCTATGTAAGTTTTACAATGCTTTTAAACTGTCATATTTCCTGTTGAGCACTTTAACTGGCACATCCTTGTAGTAATAAATATTCTTAGGGCAAAACATAACTTTCTTTGCAAAAAGAAACACAGAATTTGTCTTTATGAAGAGCAACTGTAATTTGTAGGGGAGCATCCATAATTTGCAACGTATTTCACTGATAGGACTTACAGCTGCATTTGAATGCACACATACATATATACTGTATTCCAATCATTATGCTTAACACTGCACAGTGGTACTCTCTGTAGCCCACTTAGATGGTTCCAGGTTTTGTCAGTAAAAGTGCTTGGCTTCATTGTCAATTCACACAGCAAGCAAATCTTCAAAATTATCATGCGTGGGGAAGGGGAAGGTAGAAAACAACACTAACCATAAAAGCACCTTGTCTGGGTTGGCAGTTACAATGCTAATCACTCCCACATCCAAATATTTATTTTCTGTCTGCATGCTTTCTTGCTGGGTAGCTGGGGAAGGTGGTATGTGTTTCTGGCCTCCCTACTCTGGGAAAATCTTCATACCACCTAGAACTAGTTCTACATTTCAAAAGGTTGGCATTTGACAATTAAAAAAAAAAAAACAAACAAACACCCAAGCTTGAAGTATCATTTCTATGGCTATCTAGGACAGGTTCCTTTCCACTACTTCTTTTAATTTCCCTGCCTCAATTTTTGTTTGGCTAGGTGTGTCATTGGTGAGACTGCATGAACCAAACGCTGGCAAGTGCCTAGAACAGGATGCCTCAGCACAGTCAGTACTTCCACCCCAGCCTTCTTGTTCTGCTCATGAGCTGTCTAGGGCACAGCACCTTTTCTTCCCAAATGGGAGAGACCTTAAAGGCAATCGGTTGTCTTCCCCTGTATTCCTGCGTACTGGCACGCACCTGTTGAAAAGAACCAGCTAGAACATGGAGGAGGATTTCTGGAGGATCTTCACATGTTAGGACTCTTGTTGGAAGATTTATACCACCGCTCTAACTTGGAAAAGTTAAACTACCATCTGGGGAAAGGAACAAAGTCCCTTGAGATCTGATACTTAAGCATAGAAAAATGCTTGCTCTTTTCTGAACATTATTTATTCTGTACATAAGGTGACTAATTCACCTTTTAAAGACGTAAAAGTCCCAGGAAGGCAGTTTTTAATGACTTACATCCAATATTTATGATACATATGGCTTTTTATCCCAAATGTCAAAAGTGAAAGAAAATATAGCTATTCATGTGGCAGTATAAATAGACAGAATAATAATTTAATATGCAATTAGACTCTTTCTAAACTTGAATTAAACCATTGGAGTTTTACAACTCCATGCCCAGACAATTTCAGTGCTAAAGGGAAAAGACACTATCTCCAAAAGGCTAGTATTTTAGAGAAAGTCCTTAAACAAGCAGAAAAGTCCCTGATGTTGCTTTGGTATAAAGCAGGTGAGTAGCAATAATCTATACAAAGAGTGTAAGCCCTATACAATATAAGCTTTCAGGTGAAAGAATCGGTAAGGATTTTTTAGTGTGGGTTTTTTTTGGTTTTTTGGGTTTTTTTTTCTGTCAATGGGTTAGTTTTATAAGCTTCAAATAAATGTAGCAACTCCTGTAAATATGAATATAAAAAAACCTACTGCAACATACATCAACACTTCTGCACTAAATGACTTTCTTTGTGTAACTCTGACATCAAGAGCAAGTGTTCATGTTAAATATACTCTATTTTCTGATATGTAGAGTAACTGCAGTGAGTTATTTATGTTTTCAGTGTGCCTATGGGTTTAGAATTTTTTTTTTTCTCCCTTAGCATCATAAATAACTTTTGGTCCGTCTGCTTTGTTGCTGTTGTGCTTAAGGGTTTTATGGTGGTGAAATAAAAATGACAATCACATGCACACTGTCATACATATGCAAAATATGTGTACAAAAAGGGAGAACTCCATGGGAAAACAGGGAACATTACTGCTGGAAACATTAACTGGGGAGAATGGGTGGTGAATGCAAGTTTCACACACAGTGGGAGCAGGTACACATATCAAAGTCTATCTTCCTGCACATACTTCTGTTTTTCCCGGGAATCCCTGGTCTTGGTGCGGTTCAGTCGGTTTGCTGTTGATGGGATGGAGTGAACTGATGAACTCTTCTTGCTGGAAGAATAGGAGGAATGGGAGGAATGAGAAAGACTGGCCCGGGACTGGCCAGCGTTGTGGTCAAATTGCATCAAACAGAAGATCAAGTCTGTCGGCACAAGCTCAAATTCATATGGTGGGTTTGTGATAACATAACTGGAGAGAAAGGGAGAAAGAAAGAGAGAGAAAGCAGGTTTAGATTTGTGCTAAAAAATTTCTTCTAGAGTTGTTACCTCATGAACATTTACCCAGATTTTTTTCTGTCTCCTTCAGTGTGTACCTAATTTTAGCTCACACAATACCCATTATGATTTAGGACCTTATGTCAGATATCACTTTTTGTATGTTTTCTGTTGTGCAGACACACTGTCTGAGTATGATGTTCTTCAAGTGACTCACGTCATGATTTTTCAGAGACTACACCACACAAATCATCTTCCTTTCTCTAGCTGCACTGTAATGCAAGCAAGCAGACTCTAGCAAACAGATTTACATATTGACAAAAACCGGTAACATACCCACCAGCAACTGTATTTAATAGAATGGCTGAAAAGCAGGGAGAGGAGGATTTTAGGTGCAGTTATATTTAAATACATGTTTACTATATATTTATTAAATATTTAAATACTGTCAATAGAGCAAAGGATATAATTATTTGTCTGGATTGTGACTGGACATAAAACAAGTTAAGGAAAATATATCAGCAAATTTGCAGTGAGGTTAATTTTGTTCATTCATTCCACATGTACACTCATGGCCTCAAAGAGCATTTATAAAGAGAAATCTGCACATCCAAGAATCCAGCATTGCTAAGTATACATCCCAGGCCTGAAATAAAAACTCTATCAATTTCAAGAATCCCCACCTTCAACTAACCCCCTTTCAGGGTAGGAAGGGCTTATAGACCCTGCTGCTAATTTTTTTCATGCATGTGAAAAACATATTTGAGCAAGGCAATAGGCATTTTCTGTCCAGGCAAGAAATGAGTAAAAATCGATCACAAAGCTCACAACTTATTTTCAAATGAATTCAGTTCTTGTAGGAAATCTGGCTTAGCTGCCTCAGGGACAGTATTAATACAACAAATAATCCCGAGTACAGCAAATACACTGTAAATCTAAACCAAAAATATTTTTTTCTACCCAATTTGTCCAAATCCTTACAGAAGAAACTGCTTTGGTGGGCTGCAGGGTTGTTTATTGCCATGTTCACCCAATAATGACGCTTTTCGTAGAGAATGAAACAGTAACAAACGGTAGATTTGCGATAGTTCTGGTGTGGGTCTGTGTGTGTATTTCTAGTAGGAACTTAATGAAGACACATTTCAAGTAAGCTGCTAAATGGCCTTCAGTTTGCAAAGATGGAAATGTGTCCGCTCTGTTTAAAGCACTGAGGTAGCCTTGGTGCTACAGAAGTAAAAATTCATTCTACCAAGAGAAGAGTTTCCATTTACTGGAAGAAATGATGATTAGATACAAACAGTACCAATGGGAAGCCCACAGGAGTATTTTTTGAGCATTCTGAAAAAAAGAAAGTCTAGCTACTATAATCTAATTTATTATACAGTAACTAACAGCTGATTGATATAAGCAAACTGAAGCCCTTTCCTTGTACACAAGCAGTGGATCATCATAAATCAAACAAGATAAAGGTATGTTCTGAAAATTTACTTTAAAATTTTTTGATTAAAATTAACTGAAAATTTATGCAATGATATTCAGCCTATGATTTAAACTCAGCTAAAGAGTCATCATGAAGTCCTCAAAGAGTTACCTTTTGCGGCAAAGTTATGTAAAAAAATGAAGAAAGCTCTTTTTTTAGATTTATTATAGGCACTGGGATCTTCCTCACCAAGACGACTAAAGGTGAAGCAGAGATGTTCTAAAAGACTGGACTTACCGTTTAGTGCATTGGCTGGGAGTACTTAGATGTGCATCCCTTAATCGATAAATTCCAAAGCAAAGCATATTGTATGTTTTCAGTGCTTTACAAAATAGATCTCCATAACAACCTCCATCCTAGCAGACAGAAAGGAGAGGGGGATGAAAAAAAAAAGAGAGAACAGCACATTTTTTTCCTTTCTTTTCTCAACACAATGTCAGGGAACAGGATTTTCAGTATGAGCTTGTACAAAAAGGACAACGTATAGACGGTCTGCTGTTTGTCATAAATGAGAATCTTTTACCCAAGGAAATGAAGAATCTAAAGGTTTTATTTCAAATATGCAGTTATGTAAAGTGATCATTATTTTGGAGATCCTTGGTCCATGAAATGATGGTAAATTGGGAAGAGTGAATGATTTGCTTTAAGCTGGAAATATAAATTTTGGTACCAAACAATGCATATTCTACAAATTACATTAACGATGGTATTAAAATTGTTAGTACTTTTGACCCTTTTTTGGCAGTAGCCATACTGTCATCTTAGACAAATAAATTCACTGGGGAGTGCAACAGAAATTAGAGTTCTGAGGGGTCAAAAGGATAATAAAACATCTCCCACTTCAAAATAATGATGAAAAGTGTGCCATTTTTCATAAACAATATAAAATATTTTTATTAGGAAAAAAAGTTTAGATTTGATAATTTGTATATCTAAAATACTGATTCTTAAGTAATGATGAGTGTTAATGCATTCTGCCTTCACTGATGTAGCGCAACTGAGGCTCTGGCAAAATAACATTTGAAGGATTGCTATTGCTTGTCTTATTTGTGAAACGTTACACTGCAGGCCCAAGTGTTTTGACGAGTTGTTAGGCTCAGCTATGAATGGACTTGTACATGAATGGAAAGGCTGGTTACTTCTCTCTGTGTACCCTTAATGCTTACTGGGCTTCCCTGTCATTTCTGTGAAGAAGGTCACTCCATTCTTTTTGAACAGAGCTGGTGAACAAAAGGTGAATTCAAGAAATATCAAATCCTAAATCATCATCAATGTGAAGTGGGTGCTTTGAGATTCCCCTCAAGATTACAAGATTTGGTTCAGAAAATATTTCTAGACAGTTCTTTATCCCAATGGACTGTTTTTTAAATGATGGTTTGTTTATTTTGTGGGGTTTTTTAATTTCACTCTTAAGATAATGGAGTCGAAATGTGAGAAAATTAGGATTTTGCAAGAATTTTAGTTCATCTAGAAACAGCAGAAAACAAACCTTATAGCTTTGTTTTCAAGCTCATAAGCATAATTTAAGCAAGAACTGGAAGCTCCATGGAGAGACTAAATAAGCTTATCAAAACCCAACAAAGGTATAGATACTGCTCATGTTTACGATGAATTATTGTTAGAATGGTTATATCACCAAAGTCAGCTCATCCATCTCTCTAGCTGACAACTAAGAAGAGCCACAGGATTTTCTGTATGAAATATCCAGGCAAGGAGTCTGGGAAGTCGTACAGCTCCTTAAAAAGGGTAAGAGCAAACCTGGCACCTTGTGCTGTAAATTGTCAAACGATCCAAAATCTCTGTGAACTTAAATCATAGAAATTACGGGCTAATTAAGATAGATTGTTAATTCAGTCTGAGAGAATACAAATGGATTGGAGAGCAGCCTTGGTCCTACATCTGCCTCATGATCTTACCCCTAGGTCTGCAAACGGCCCATCATACAAAGCCAGCTGAGCAACTCGACACCTGTCCCTGTTTGCGAGTGTCTGGGGCGTGCTGTAACCTCCTCTCAATGCATTTTCCTCAGCAATCAGTGCTTCCAGCTCTGGTGTGGCTCCTCCTGTTACCAATGTCCGTATCAGTGTGAGGATATTGTCATTGAAGTATGTCTGCAGAGATAAAGAAAGCTCTTTAAGAAAACACCATTAAAGTCACAACTGAAGACATCCAAATTACAACTTTTCTGGGTTTCTGCTGTTTAAAGTTCTTGGCTGTCTCTTCAAATAATTTTATATAGAAAGTGAAAAGACAGCAGCCTCCAATTACTCTATTTTCTTCTATCCCATTAGGCTCCTATACTAGATCCTTCCTTTTAAACACCAATTCAGGCTGATTTTTATTAAAGTACAAAAATTTGAATGATTTATGTTTCCTATAATTGGTGTTAGTAGTGATGCAATGACTGCTTTCCTTCTCATTGCCTTCATGTCTAATAATGGGCTTTAGGACATGTAATTGTAAAATTCAGACCACATTTAAAGCTTACACAGGCTAGATTGCCTTTTTACTCTTGTCACCAATTCGTTGGGGAGCTGCCTTTGTGTTGCAAATGTCATTACTTATTACTGTGGCTGGACTCTAGCAGTCTAACCAATGTATTGTACTAAACATCTTATTACGAGACTTGACAGTGTTCAGACATAAGCATGTATCAATTAAACATCTTGAGTTCATTCCAGATAAATGTATGATGAGTTTGGGATCCTGGTGGTCCTTTTAAAAAACTCTAGGGTATAGGGTAAGTGTGGTTTATTAGGGAAGATTTACTCCACACTGACATTTTGCCAGCATCTCTAGCATTGCTGGTCTGTCAGGCAAACAATGGGTATTTTAAATATTAATTTAATGCCAGATGAGTGACTTTCAAGTTCACTTAAAAGTATACCAGTATAGTTCAGAGATACTCAGTTAATATCTGCTATGTAATGTACTGAGCAAAAAAATACCGTTGAGCAAAAAAAGGAGGCACCATCACTTACAACGTCGCTAATGTCTGTGTTTTCAGAAGCTTTGCAAGTGTGGGGGACGTGAGAAGAAAATGAGCTCACTGTAGAGTACACACGATTGACGTTGCTGGATTTGTGGATTCACATTACTAGATTTGTGACTTTTCTTGAACTTAGGACTTGGAACAAATGTCTGTAATCCAGCCTACTAAAAATGAATACTGAATTCTCAAATAGTGCTTGTTGACCAAAGAGAATACTTTTTTTGATAATACTTTTCAATGAAATTCACTGCTCTGTCCATAAAATGTAATCGTATTTAATACATGGGTAAACTGAGGTACAAGTTGAAATAATTTATCATGAGATCAAAAAGCTGAACTGGCTTCCTATCCATGTTACTTTGATATCCTTTCTTTGTATAATGAAACTTCAGCTTTATTGTTCACTCTAGATGACAGATAAAACAGGAGAAAATGAATTCTACGCGGCAACATTTTTCACTGTTACATTGAAGTTTCATAACTTCAAGTTTCTCTGCTTATTTACATAGGCATATATGCCATTCACCTGTTGCCTAAATTAAAATGAGAGGAACATATTGTTATTGTTATACATGCCCTACAGCAAATATTTGCATCTCATCAACTCCAATTATTTTAAATTAGCCTGGGTAAGGAACTACATATTTTAATTACAAAGTGTACTGTAAAGAGTTGTCTGACATTAGCAGGAGGTCAGGAAGATTCCATTAGTCTAAACCAACAGCTAATCTGAAATCAGCTCTTACATATGTGGATGCATTGTGTAACAATTCAAGTGTAATACTCAGACCTTTCTTAACATATAGAAAAATCAATGTGACCCCTTGCAGGAATGTACGTCTGGAGTTATTACATGATGTTTAATAGGAACTGCCGTGGTGAGAGAGAGGGAAGACGTTCAGGCATGATTTTTTACTCTTCAATTACTTCTTCCTTGATGTCCCTGAGGTGAGAATCAGAGTTGCCGTCTTTGGCAACTCCTCCCACTATGCTATACTTTTCCAACATGGAAGTACTCAGAATAAAAAAAAAACCAAAACAAAGCAAAACAAAACCAGCATTAAATTTAAACTCTTTTCTTGGCTTTTGTCAGTGTTTATTATCTACCACTCAGAACTAAAATAATTAGCATAATTCCTTTGCTCCTGCAGTTAGGCAGCGATGTTACTTGACACCAGTTTCATGGATATAAAGCCAAAATCTGCCAGATCTAGAGGTTGGAAGCATTGCAATTGTAGAAGCTGGAAAAGCCCATTCAGTGCTCCAACATATTCTATATGGCACTTTAAGTACACAACTTCAGAAAAGCATACCATTTTCTGCAATTGTATCTTTTCTCATGCCTTCCCCACTCTTTCATTCAGTATTTTTGATTCCTTTTCTTCACTAAGTAGTGATATTTAATATTATTAAAAATGCTATTCTCAGTTTTACATCTATAAGTCAAGAGAGAAGAGCATAAAACAAAAGGAAAGCGTATCTTTACTGGTAGATTTCTCAAGTCTGGTTTGCAATGGGGCCAACTACAGTAAGAAATGATCAGCTGCTCTAAGACTGGTAGATGTTGGTTTGTGTAAAGTAGCCTGGTTTTATAGACTGCTGACTTGCAGTGATTTCTGAAAGATACAAAAGTCTAAAATTGTACTAATAATTTTATTACTCATTAGGAGGTATCATTCGGCCAGCCTTACCTGGTTTCCAACCCTTTCTCTCTCTGTCGTTCAAATTATAGCGACTATAGCCAGAATCCAAGATTTAAACACATATACTCTTAGCTCATCTGAATTTTGTACTGTGCACGTGCACAATTACCCCTTGTCGTAAATTCAGATGTAGCTCACTAGAGCATGATCTACTAAGAAATTATACTGTGGCCATATTGCTTATTTTACCACAGATCTCATATTAAACTGGGAAATGAAAGCAGTAGTAAAGTAATGTATCAAGTCAGACACTTGTCAAAAATACATTAATACAAATAAAATAAAATATCCCCCTCCAAAGTCCAGCACAATCAAGACATAAGGGGCCCAATTCTGACTTATGTCATGTGCCAACCAGGAGTAACTCTGGGAGCCGTACACTCCTATGAAACTGATGCAAATGAGAAAAGAATCAGATCTATTGTCGATGGAACAGAATGCTGTCACTGCACAAAGGCCTCCCACTGCTAGACAAATGTTAAGGCAAAGCTAAGGCACTTATTAGCAAAGGAGGCAACATTTATCTTGGAACAATGGCTTAATTTGAGTTTCACACCATGACTGATGTGGATGTCACCATTTAATCAGATGGATGAGTGCAGCCAAATGATGGGGTTTGGGTTTTTGGCATCAATGAGTGAAAAGATTCCAACTTTCAGGATGGACTGCTCTGGCGTTGCAACCGATCAGAAAATGCCCAGCCATAAGCAAGAAAGGATGGGTGAATAGAAAGCTATACCTTGTCACCTTTGGCTGAATAGGGCTGCTTCCTCCTGTACTAACGTATTTAACACTCCTCAGGAAAAAAACGTCTGTCCATGCTTTCGATTGTCACAAAAATCAGACTTCTCTCATTACCTCTTGCCAGTTTGGAACTGGGGGAGACACTGAAAAGCTGAACTGGCTGATATCCATTTCCTTTGGAATAACAATACACTGAAATTAATTTGAGAGTGATCTTCTACTTGCTCTGTGGGAGGGTACATGGCCTGGATATGCCAGTACTTATAAGAAACTGATCTACAGAATGCCTTTGGAAAGGTGCTGCTGTACTTAAAGTAACAAGACACTTTCCAGTGATGTTGACTGTAAAATCGTAACTAAAGAAATACTTGTTTGCTACTGCCATTAACACTAGATATCTGTATGACACCGCTATAATCAGCATCCGGAATAAGAGTATGAAATAGGTGTAGTCTAAACGCAGAAAAAAGGAAATGCATCATAGACACTGAAACTGGGTAAATAGCAAGGAAATTCTGACATAGATATCTGAGCTAGCAGTGCCACCTAGCCTATGCTCCAGAATTGTAGTGCAGCTCTTTCAAATTGTTCGGGGATGCTTTCCCATTTGTTCAATCATTTTTTTAAAGTATAATTACCAGAGTGCTTATGTTTTGCTGTTAATGCTGTCAAGTCTTTTAAACTAATTGGTCTTTTACAGAAAATTTAACTGAAAATTAGCACATCTTTTAATAACATTGCTTTAACTTTAATAGCACTTTGCCTTTCATTTATAATTACTCCAAAATTGTCATTTTCCAAGTCATATCTGCCATTTTTGTGTGTTTGCTAGTGTTTTTTATGGATTTCTTTTAAAAAAGACTCCTCCTACACTGCATGCAGTTTTTAATATTGCTTTCAAACAAATATTTTAACTTGCTTTTCTTTTTCAGTCGGAAAAATTCTGTTGAATGAATAATATATATCCAAAACCTGAGGATGACTGAGCTAACATCAGTAACTTATACCAATAACAAAGGGGCCTTTGACTCAATATCAACAGCAGAAAATAAACAGCAGCATTTCACAGTTTGAAAACCTATTGATTCTCATAATATTGTCCAAACTTTAAAGAAGTTTGGGACAGTTTAGGTTACAAAATGCTGCATGTTAATCCCCTGAACAGACTGGCACAAAAAATAGTCTTGTGCTTCAACATGTCCATATCACAGATTGGAACAGTTTCTTTTCTGTATAAATAAGACTGTGAGGATCCCTGAGGGAGAAGTCTTGAGTAAGGGATATACTGAAAAGTTATTTTTAACTGTTTTAACAATTGTCTTCATTTTGTGCTTTCATTTATATGAAGAAAAAGTAGAATTTAGTATTATAGAACTAAAATCAAGACCTAAAATTCTATCACAAGGAAATAAATTCTAGGATATCAAATGTTAAACAGTATAATCTGTTTCTGGAATCCCTGCCTCTAACGCCACCACTCCGACAGTATATCAAGGTTTTTGTCGGCAGTATGTATGGGAGGGATGCCAACCTGCCAGAATTTCTATGGTTCTCATAGCTTCAGTGCCAAAAGGAACAACAGAGAAGCTTTGGCTCTCAGGCCAACTGTTTAAACCTTTGAAGGTACTGCGTGTTGATAAAACTGGTTCCCTTGCACGCACAGGATTTTCTGGAATAACTATCTCAACAAGACACATAAAAGGAAAAAGTAGTTCTCCTCAAAAATTTGCTTCTCTTAAGCTATCCTATGTCGTGTAACATTTTTATAGCTGAAGATAATCTTTTTTACAAAACATCCACATTATCTAAAAGATGCTTCCATTCCCATGGTTTTTAGTCACATTCAATTTGGTGATGAGAACGTGCTTTGGTTTTCATGAGCGACACCACCTTGAGACTGACAGACTACATATATTCTTTCCCTGAGTTTGCATATGTTATGACAAAACAAATATTAATATATCATTCAAGACTCTGATGGCAGTAGATGTCTCTTCAAAGACATAATAATGATTAGCTGGTGCAATTTAACAATAGCCACTGCCACACTTAAAACATGAACCATGCCTACAGTCTTCACACAGAGTACAATAATGCACCATCACGGAAGCCTGGAGAGACCACTGTTACCAACTCATCAAAAAGACAATGCAGTTTTTGAGCTCGTTATTGTCTTCTGAGCAATGATCTTCAAACTACCACACTGGCTTGTGGAATATGTTGCCTTTGCTGCAGAGGACAAACTGTGTGCAGACAGCCTGTAGATAGCATTTTGAAAAGTAAACTTCATTAAGATTTTTACCTTTGAAATAAGAAAATAACAGGCAATTTCAAATTTAAAATATCTAATACTGTCATCTTATAGGAAATGACACTAAACTAGCAGAATGTAATGATCTTCAGCAATCAGAAAGTGACAATGCATTTTCTAATCTGTGATTCATGAGAAGAGTTTAGTTCACTACTTCTATATTAATAAAATTATATAAAAGATAATAATAATTTAACACTGATTAATACTGTTGAATTATTATTACTGAATAACTGAATTATTTACTAAATTAGTGTAAATATATTTTGTACCTCTTTTTCTATATGCATACATCTATATGTATGTTTAAAATTACCTGCAGGTCAGAAAGAATACTGCAGGTATGTGTGGGTATTATTCTACTTCCTGATCTTTGTTACACCTGTTTTACTACAAAACCCCACTACCGGGAGAAGAGATTCATTCTTAACGGAGCAGTTCGTGCATTGTACATTTTTACTGTGGCCCATATGAGGAATTGACATTCCAGAGACATCAACAGAGATCATAAGTTGGAATTTGTCTATAAAAATTAAGCAATAAAAACCCCTGAATCACTAAGTGGATCAAATAATGAACTATATCCTCATCTCAAAGTGAGCTGGCACAGGCGAGTACAGTGTGAATTATTTCCTTCTTACAGAATTCCTGTGCACTTAATAGGATGAAAGCATGACTGCAGATCTCACAATTTAGTTAGGATTTTGGGTTCAGTCTGCCGGTACTGGCTTGAAGTTAGGCAGAATAAATAGCAGCTGGTCCCTAAAAACAAGTGTACTCTAGAAGAAAAAAAGAGATAATTCAGTGCAAGTAGATTAGTTTGTGTGAGAAACGCTCTTTTCCTTGGAGAAGAAGTGAAAGGAGCATACATCCTTTCCATGAGAACAGGGATAGTAAAGGGAAAACATCTCACACATCTTACACTTTCTGAAGGGTCAGGAAGAATTGTACTTTTCCAACTCTTTACTAGGCCTTTGAGGAATAAAAGAGAAAATAATGCTGCCACCGATCAGCAAAGTGGTGAAAGAAAAGAGATGGTGAACAATTCTAACTGACTGAATCCTTGGCTTGTCTTCTTGATTAGTACTTTTTCTAAGTTAGAATTTTCTACTCTTGTTATCACATTTACTTCTCTGGCTTCAGGCTGCACTGCCCCTGACATATAATATGACCACTTAGATGTGAAAATGTTTGGGAAAAAAAGACTGTTGGAGAAAGGAATTGCAGAAACAGAGGGGCATGTTGTCAAAAATGAAAAGTTAATAAGAGCTAGCAATAACTAAATATATTGTGAGGATTATATGATGAGTTCCAAGTAAAAACTTCTGAACAGTCATGTTCCACATATGTCTCATTGTCTCACTATTATCTACGTGATATACCTTTGCAGAAGAAAGCAATGTTGTCCACAATATTTTGCACTCTTTTTGTGGCAATCTGAGGAATTAACCCTACTTTTTCTAAGATTCTGGAGGTGCCCTACTGAATGATTCATTCAGGATCATTGATTTAGATAATAGTGCGAGTAGATAAACAGCTCTAGTATAACAATTTGGAAACTTCATGTTAAATTATTCCCATTTATAATGTGAAAATGCTAAATATTTCACACATAGAGATTTTAATTAGAGTTTAAGTGTGCTTGCTTAGGCTTTCTGAATTTGTCATGTCTGCAAAATATGGCAAATAACTTTCAAAAAAAAGTATTTTTTGAGTTTATTGCAAACACCTAGTCTGCATTAGAATAAAATGTTATCAGTGTAGACTGATATTATTCATCTGTGGATGGAACATATGAGGAATATAGCAAGGAATAAAAAGATGAAATACAGATACTTAGATATTAAATACAAATAAAATATCAAATAATAAAGACCACCGTGAATATTTCTTAAAAGCACCTTTAGGTGAAGCTCAGACTTGGCTCCTTTAAGGAAATCTGTGCTCATTTCTAATATTACGTGGGATTTACAACAGATGATGGTTCCCAGCACTATGGAACTTTATTCCATGGGGAGCTCAGAAAGCCTATGCTCAGATTGTAAAAAGACTATGTCCTTGCTACATCTAGCAGAACTTAAGGTCCCTCTGAAAGAAGTGCAGCTCAAACAGAGCAAGACTGGTCTGAAAACCTAGCCAACATGAAGTAAGGGAGGATAAAAAGGAGCATGACTGAGGTGTTTGCTTCCCAAACTGTACTATGGCTGCAAACCAAAAACCCTAATGTAGACGTAACCAAAGGCCACCATCCGCAGTTTCTGGCATGCACTTATGTTTTGATTCACAAGACAACTCATGTGAAAAAGAGATAATGACCTGTCTTCACATAAGTAGAGTTCATGTGATGTGTACAATGACTTTTGTATAGTTCTATCAGTGTCCCCCAGTGCTCAAACTCAGAGCATTGTTCATGGCTACAGGAAATTAAAAGCTTAAAACACGGTTGATGCTGTCTGACAAGAACCGTGAGCATAGGGACTGACACACTGAATTTGGGTCTGGGTTTCAGAAGGGAGATACGACATTTTTTGGAAAATATTATCCTAAAGCCTGACATGAGACTCTGCTTTTAAAATTGTGGACTCATGGTAGTCCTAAATTGTTGATGTTTTAAGGTCTCTGTGTCCAACTAAAAAATAAGCTAGTTTAGGTTTTAAAATTCTCTTGACATCTAAGAGAAAAGTGTCTTCTCCTGACTACCTGTGGAAAAGGGACTACGCTTTCATACTCTTTCACAATAAGTCTGATGGAAGTGAATGAAAAAAGTTTTGTTTGCTTACTGCGCTCATGAGAGAGTCCAGCACACTGACAGCAAATGCGGTTCCACATGCAAAGGGCTGAGTGAGATACAGTTCTGTGTCTGGATCATCATCATCATCTTGGTCCAAGAACTGAACATTTGAATCATTTACTGAAAATAATAATAATAAAATCATAAGGTGCTTCTAGGTCACCAGCATATGACCTTACACATTACACAGTCAGAAAGAAAAAGAAACGGCATATGTCTGGAAACACAGACTTGTGTCTTTGACGTCACTGAAAATGAAATCAAGATGGATGTGAAAATGCGCATTTAAAAATCTGTTGATCATTATCTTGCTCGTAAGAGGTGACTCTCTTGTTCTTGAGAGGTGACTACCCCTTTGCTGTAAAAGTAGCTTCGTGGGACCAGCTGCCTGCACTCAAAATGAGATACACGATGCTCTTTGATATATTGAGACAATCTTGGTATTGGTCGGGTACAGTGGCTAAGGCTGTATGCATGTACAGTGAAATGTTATCATAAGATACCAAGTCAGAACTCTGTTGTAAAATAAAGGCCGTCCATAAAACTCTGATATAGCCCACAGGCATCTGTTAGATGGGCTGCTGTGATTCTTACTGGAGTGGTGTGAATGCACTTACGTCTCAAAAAAGGATAAACTGTCCCTTTAACATGCATCTATCTGAATGAATGAATGAGCAACGCTCCAGCTATTGTCTTGCAGCACTGCCTTTTGTTCAAGTATTTGTCTCCATAATTTCACTTCCTTAGCCACAAATTCTTTATTAGCCAGTGTGAAAAAGAATCTACATCAGGCTGTTTTAAAGAAAAAGCCCAAATAAAGTAGTATTTGTCATTCAGACTTTCTCTGGCATTTCATTGTCATAGTTAAGCTTTCTGCCTCCACTCCATTCCACTAAAAATAGTTGTTTCCTTGAGATCAGTGTATCAAGTGGATCATATTTCATCAAATATTTAATTTCCATATTAGTCCTGCTCAGACATGAAAGCACAGACTGCTTAGCTATGCCATTGAAATACCCTTTAACTTACTAAATGACAAATTAATTTCAGTTTTGATGCAAGGAAGGGAACTTAAAGACTTTTTCAGCATTTGAAACTGCACATATTGACTATGTCCCTATTCCCTGTGTGATCACATCTCCTGAGCCAGCCCAGCGAGCTTTGAAACCAACATGCTGTTAACTTGATCAGGTTTTGGCTCTGGATTTCTTAGGTTGAAAGACTTCTGCTTCTATTCTGATCTTCCTTCCTATATAATTTCATTTTCCATCCACTCCTTTTCCAACCTGTATATTCTACCGTGCTTGCCATGCCTAGCTTACAAAACATGAATAGGCTATAGATAAAGCCTCTCAACAGCTGAGCATCGTTATCCTCCTTTTAGAGCCCTGTTGAGCCAGTACTTGGCCACGATCATTCAGTCAGGACCCAAGCTGAAGCAGGAATTAAAGTTCCTGCCTTCTCACTCCCTGATGTAACCATGAAAGCATAACACCTCAGCGTTGTAAACGGAGAAGTGTTCTGCCCTGGGAGTCAGAAGAATTTCATCCTACCAATATCCACAACATTCCTTTCTTTGTACAATGGCTATCAATTTATTCTCCGGATTCTTGAGCAAAATAGTATTCGAAAGCCCGACGTATCATTTCAAAATGTACTTTTTGAAGAGCTTGTGCCTTAGTTTAATTTGCTAGTTGAGAGTAGGCACTATCGACAGTAGCATTCTTTCTCCGCTTACATCTGGCAGACTAATACCCGACTTTGACACCAGCTTGCTAGCTGTGCGTGGTGTCGGTTTCCAAGGCACTACAAATCTAACGTGAATTCTGCCAGTGCAGTTTTATCCTCGATATCTTTATCTTCCTGATGCAAGTTAGCACGCTAGGATTTCTACGAAAGGTCTCCGGGCTAGGTGAGGCAGGCTCGAACGTGTGGTGCTGCGCCATAGGAAACGCTCATCAAACACCGCTCGCAAAAGCTGGCGAGAGCTCTCTGTACTGGGAGGGAGCAATGCAGAAGCTTGGCTGCTTTGTACAGCTTCAAAACCTGAGCTTCTGAGAAAAGGCCTGCTCCCCAAAATAAGGAATCAAATAGCCTAAGGGAAAGTATGATGCTGGGGTTTCTTTTCTGATATCTTTTACTTCTTCTTGGACTTCCTGCAAGAACTGCTCAGGCATGTCCACCAAATTGACAATTGGCTGAAATAACAAAAAGAGAAAGAAAGAGAGAAAAGG